GTAGGCATTGCAGAAAATAGTAGGTTAGGTTAGGTTAGAACAGTGACCCTTAACGCGCGAAGGCGAACGAAGTTGACGTGACATTGACACTGGGTAACTGCGTCATACATTAAGACTGCGCATCGTCCTGGGGATATTTTCCCTGCGCTGGTGTAAACAAGACTGAAACTTGTTTGGCCGAAAATAAGAATCACTGCTTCATCTTACCATAAAACTGTCACCTTCAAAGTTATAAAATATCTCGTCTCCCTTGATTTTTTCTTTTTCTTTTTTGTAATGTATAATAAACTGTGTTCTATCTATCTCATTTTTGTCCAGGCCAAATCCTACCCAATGTCGGCGCGCCTCGACACGACCGTCCAAACCGAGCCCGAAGACCTCTCTTCATCAGATCGAGCTAAAAAACCGAAAAAGAAAACCGGCTTCGAATCCGAGACCTCAGCAGACGAGGGTGATACAGACAACGAGATGGTGTTCATAAAGAACCCCAACGGGAGAGAAAGCAAGCCTTATAACGTGGACTTCAATGCAGGGAATATGTCGTTATTAGGAGCGTTGGATCTGGACGAATCGGACTCGGAGAACGAGAATGGATTGATGGATAAACTGGCGACTGCTATTGGACACCTATTTACGGAGTACGTACCAAGATAATGCTATAATTGTGTTACAGGTTTAGTGGATAACTGAGTCAGTGCTTGAATTAGGTTATAGGCCTATAAGAGCGGCTCAGGAGGGGTGACATATTGAAATGACAGAGTATTCAAGTCTGAAGCACATTTGAAATCTCGCTAACGTTTAACGTCACAAAACCACCCTTCCCGTGCTTTTCCCATACCACAGGCTTGACTCAGTTGTACGCTCGATCTGTACATTACATGTAGTATTACATGTAGGTAGACATAATAAAAACAATACCAATTTAATTAATTACCATGCCGATTACGTCCCTCAAGTAGACTGATCACTTGGCTAGAATCGTTCATAGAAGGTGGAGCTTGTATTTGCGTATAATTTATAGAGAGCAGATGGAAAAAGTGTAAAACACTGGCTTTTATTACGTGAGCGATATTAAACTGATATTTGTATGCCAACAGTGATTCAAGTGCCGACGACCTAAGCAACGAAGAAGACTCGTCGGCGCCGGAGCAAAGCGAGCCCGAAGGCAGTGATAATGAAGACAACGATAAGGCTGTCTCCTTCACCGACTCCGACACTAAGGCGAAGAAAGATACGGAGCACAAGACTGTCACGTTGCAGGCAAGAACAATACATGGAAACAATATTATCAAATCTAATCAAATACTCTATTCAGTACATAGGTCCTTTCCAGGGCGATTATACGTCCCAAATATAGCTTGCCCTACCACCACTTCGGGACAACATTATGAGCCGGTACTGAGTAAAAGTGGCGGAAGAAATTTATTCACCTAACCTTTTTTTTTATGCTTAACAAGGCAGGTATTTGACCACAATCGCACCTGATGTTAAGTGGGATGCAGTCTAGGATGGTACATATCTGCCCTGTAAGTGCTTATTCACTCTCGCCTTGAAGAGGCCCGGAGACCTTTGTTTAGATTAGACTACACTTACACATATTTTTTCTTGTTATGTCTTGATACACAAACAATCACACTTTTTAGTTTTACTATTTGAAGAGACGGTTCACGGTACTACTGATACACATCTAAACCTGGGTTTGAATGTTCTTAACTCATGACATAATATGTCCCCGGTGAGACTCAAAAGAGAACTCAAATTCGGACAGTCACTTTAGTCACTGAGTGGGTGGCCTTTTTGACAACTTTATTACTATTTTTTCGTTTTTTCTTTCTTCTTTTGATGTTTGTGATCTAAAATGTTATGAATGTATTTATTTTTTACGATTAAGTTGTCAAATAAAGATTTTTCATTCTTTCTTTCTAGCTCAAATAACAAAAAACACTTTAAGTAACAAAAATCTGCTCTATTTCTATTACAGGAGCCAGTGCGAGAAGACAGCGTAGACTCCGGCCTCGAAACGGAAAGCTTCGCAGAGCGCATGTGCACATACGTCATACTCGAAGCTAAGGAAAGCCTCAACATCACCATCACACCAGCTGGTGCCCGCGCATTGTTGGCTTTGTCGGCTGCCATCACCGACAGGACGTCTGTCGTGTCGGCTATTGTTACTAGTGAGACTGGACTCGTGCTGGTCAATGATATAGGTATGTCATCATCATCATTTCAGCCATAAGACGTCCACTGCTGAACATAGGCCTCCCCCAATGCTTTCCATGTTACCCGGTTGGTAGCGGCCTGCGTTCAGCGCCTTCCTGCTACCTTTATGATGTCGTCGGTTCACCTTATGGGGTGGACGTCCCACGCTGCGTTTTCCGGTACGCAGCCTCCACTCTAGAACCTTGCTGCCCCATCGGCCGTCAGTTCTGCGTACTATGTGTCCTGCCCATTGCCACTTGAGCTTGCTAATCCGTCGGGCTATGTCAGTGACTTTAGTTCGTTTACGGATATCCTCATTTCTGATTCGATCTCGTAAACACCGAGCATAGCCCTCTCCATAGCACGCTGTGCAACTTTGAGCTTCTGTATAAGGCCTATAGTAAGAGGCCACGTTTCCGAACTATAAGTCATCACTGGTAACACACATTGGTTGTGCACTCTAGTCTTCAGGCACTGATATTAAGGTAATGATATGTTATGCTAAACAAAGCCTGAACATCACCATCACACCAGCTGGTGCCCGCGCATTGTTGGCTTTGTCGGCTGCCATCATCGACAGGACGTCTGTCGTGTCGGCTATTGTTACTAGTGAGACTGGGCTGGTGTTGGTCAATGATATAGGTGAGTCAACAATGATATGTTAAGCTAAAGAAAGCCTTAACATCACTATCACACCCGCCGGCGTGTCGACAATTGTTACTAGTGAGACTGGGCTCGTATTGGTCAATGATATAGGTAAGTCAACAATGATTTATGTTAACTACATGACATCGGTGAGTCAATAATAATGACATGTCAATGGGGTATTTGACACTTTCAAACGATTCGCGGCCTGATGATTTAATATGGCCTAATGGTAGTCGCCCTTGACAAAATCAATGCAAGAGTTGCCTTTTGACAGCTCAAGAAAAATATATCAATAGATTAACGTTGTCACTACCTTGTTTGTCGCACATTGAGTTAGAGATAGCCCACTGCATGACTTTATACCGCATCTTCTGATGATATCTACGATCACTTACATAAATCCATCCGCAGCTTATGAAAATTTAATGAAAAACCTTAATTTCAGGACCTGGATCAACAGTGCATTTAAGGACACGAGCAGAAACTGATTTAGCAGGGAATGACAGGGTATTGGCTATAGCCGACTATGACGCCGACGCCAGCCGCCCTAGTACTCCAGGTAATCAATAAGTAAATAGAACAACCAAATTCCATTGAATGATACTAAAATGTGGGTACAATGAACATTTTGTTAATGGTTTATAGGCTGTGACACATCAGGAGCGGATCTACTGGACGATGAAATCGTAAAAGAACCCAAACCTGAAATGGCTGATGTAAGCGAAGATTGGGATTGGTAAGTCTTGTTTAAATATTATCCTACTAATATTATAAATGCGAAAGTATGTATGGATGTCTGGATGTCAACATGTTAGTTACACTTTCACGCAAAAACTACTGAACGGATTTTGATGAAACTTTACAGTATTTTTTTTTATAAAAAAAGATTATTAGCAATTTGTATTGCCCAAATTACTAATAGTCCCGTTAGCCCCTCGTGGTAAGCTAAATAAGCTTGTGTTACGAGTGGGCTCACCACAATAGTCGAGCGGCGGTGGGATTCGAACCCGCGTTATTGTTTATAACCCAGAATAACATATAGGCTATAATTTATGACGATCTGTGAAAAACTAAATTTCACGCGGGTGAAGCCGCGGGCAAAAGCTAGTTTTTTAATATTTACCTTCATCTTAGTCAACAAATCAAACATGTACAAATTCTAATTCATAAAGAAACTTTTATCTAAATTGTTGGCATTCAGATTTTTAATGGTTTGTATACGTTAAGAGTCAGGCGTTTATATTGTTCAATGGCAGGATGAAAAAGTATTTTTCTTGTGACAGCGAACAATCCGTTGCTATAACAATGACAACTTTACAATAACTATCAGATTACCAGAGTTAGAGTCTTTCTTGGGGTACTGTTATTAACTAAAGCCCGGTCCGTGAGCACGTAGAATTTTGTCCAATGACCCCTAGCTACCCACTAGAGATGGGTTATACTAGGTAAATTTGATACTAGGTGCACCTATTCCAAGTATTTATTAATACTTGATCCAAATACCTATTCCACCTAGTACGTAGTAATTTACCATACTTGACGCGACTAGTGCGGACTAATCCACGTATTATGACTTTAAAATACAATTTTCTTTGAAAAGATACAACCGTAGTATTAATAATGCAATTTGAAATTGAATAATAATGTTTTTGCTGGCTGTTGATTTATTGATATCCTCCCTTCATACTTCAACAGGCTATTCCTATCTCACACCTGCCTGCGCTCAAATTTGTTTGTCAGACAGAGACGGAGTGAATCTCTACGTTCGCACATAAGCTTAGCGAGAAATACGCGGTGCGCGTAATACACGACTACGGATTATGCAATAATAACCTCTATTACTTTGATGGTAGGGTCGGAAATCGTGTAATTTAAAAAATACTAGGTGGACGACTACGGATTATGCAATAATAACCTCTATTACTTTGATGGTAGGGTCGGAAATCGTGTAATTTAAAAAATACTAGGTGGATCAAGTATTTTAAAAATTGGAATAGGTGCCACTTAGTACTGTAAAATACCTAGTGTGTGGATCTGTTCTAGTAAATACGTCTCATCTCTACTACCCACCCTTATCGCTCGCGCGTAATTATATTGCTGTCGTGACTGTGCGACTGGCACCCGCAGTGAGTGTGCGAGTGCGATAGCAACATAATTACGCGCTAGCAATAAGGATGGGTAGCTTGGGGTCATTGGACAAAATTGTACGTGCTCAAGGACCAGACTATAGTATCTACTGTCTCCAGCGTGTTCGAGGGCGGTTTCCCCGCGGGCGGCATGTCTCCGCCGGGGGCGGGCGCCAGCTGGGCGCCGCCCGCCCCGCCGGCACAGCTGCGGGCCAAGCTCACCGACCTCACGCTGTCTGTCAGGCTGCACGACATGGACCCGCTCACGGTAGGCTTCGAGAGTATATCTGCTGTCTCCAACGTGTTAGAGGCGGCTTCCCCGCGGGCGGCATGTCGCCACCTGGGGCGGGCGCCAGCTGGGCGCCGCCCGCCCCGCCCGCACAACTGCGGGCCAAGCTCACCGACCTCACGCTGCCTGTCAGGCTGCACGACATGGACCCGCTCACGGTAGGCCTTGGAGAGTTTCTTTGAATAACCAATCTGAAATTGAAAGAATGAAATCTGATTGGTTATTTAAAACATTTCTCAGAAACCGGGCCTTATTATCATCATTATTATCAGGTTGTCTATTCCCTTTTACTGAACAAATGAACTCGGTGATTTTCAGGTTGGCCGGATGAAAGCAGCCGGCATACTACATCCTCTTACATACAGCTGCTGAAAAGACTACTTTATAAACTACCTTGTGGGTTTTATGCGTTAAACCCGTAGAACAAAGTTTTAGTGATTGGAGGATTCGCTGACGGTTATGTCCAAGACTTAAGGACGTAGCACATTTATCAACCCGGAAAGGGATCGTAACCATTTCAACTCGAGACAGTCAGTATTCTTTGTATGAAACTCCATACTGCAACGCACACTTATCCGCACCGTAACGTAAACGCCTCGTCTTGCGGTTGAAAGCGCGCGAAAGGCGGTGACAAATCGCGAAAGGCAATACGGTGTAGATCTCTTTCTGAGTTGATAAGTCTGCTATGACCTTTAACCAGCACAAGACAAATTAGAACTGGCTTGAAAGGGTCTCTGTGTTCTATGCCTCAGATCCTGTGCCCATCACGTAACGCAACTAAACTACACGTGCTGCATCCGAGCCGCCACGATACGCGATACTATATCGTGGTAGAGCGCGCGTCCAAGTACAACGCCAAGAAGATCGTGGTCCGCTCGCCATTGCAGGTTAGTGTACTCCGCCACAATGTTGCAACACGATACGATTAGTCGTGTGTCAAATAAACATTTTTTTTCTTTGATTTGTCAAAGCTATTGTTATTACGTGTCAAAGCAATGTGATTTTGTACGCTCTTGAATTGTTCTAAAAGAATAAGGCTAAGTTCAGATGTTTGCGCATCAATGCGCATTTTTACGCGCGTAGACTGCATCCCACTTAACATCAGGTGCGATTGTGGTCAAATACCTGCCTTGTTATGCATAAAAAAAAACATGACATAGAACCGTTTGCATGATCTCGTGTTTACTTGCAGCTACGTCACGTAGCCTACGTGCGATCGTCGCTGCTCCGTCGCCGATATTTTGATGTGCGCGTTGATGATGAGTTCTTGTAAAGCCTGGTCCGTGAGCACGTAGAATTTTGTCCAATGACCCCAAGCTACCCATCCTTATCGCTCGCTCGTAATTTTGTTGCTGTCGCGCTCGCACACTCACTGCGGGCGCCCGTCGCACAGTCACGACAGCAATATAATTACGCGCGAGCGATAAGGATGGATAGGGAACAGGAAGGAAGGATACACATCAAACAGAGAATGGGCAGCAGCGCTCTCTGAAAAACATCAATCTTTTAACCTGCGATCTCCAACCCGCCTGCCAAGCGTGGAGATTATGGCAAAACCCTCCACTATAGTGGAGGAGGCTCATAGTCCAGCAGTGGACTGTAAAGGGCTGTTGATGATGATGATGATGATGATAAGGATGGGTAGCTTGGGGTCATTGGACAGAATTCTACGTGCTCACAGACCGGGCTTTAGTCAAATATCGGCCTGTCCAGTTAATCCACACGTCTTGTGGCGTACAAATGATTGATCTTGCCTTACTGCTGTGTGTTACCGCTTATCACCAGAACTTGGTCTAGTTTTATGACATAATAATAACATAATAAACTAAACAGTCGTATCATGTACTAAGCAAATGTCGTGTATAGCTATAACTGGAGTGCAAATTTATTTGATGTACCTTTTTGTTGTCTAAATTATTTGTAAAAACTAATTTGTATTCTGTTGCTGTACCTAAATAAATAAATAAATAAATAATTCTGTTGTAGATCCGCAACGAGACCTCCTACCCTCTCGAACTCTTCTACAAGAAGTCCGAGCTAGCAGCGGCGGGCGCGGGCGCGGGCGCACCCGGTGCCCTCACCAACCCCTTCGACGACAAGCGGCGGCTGTGCGTGCTGGCGCCGCAGGAGCAGTACAACGTGCCGCTGTACATCGCCTACCACTGCAGGCTGTTCCTGCTGCCGTCCAGCGCACAGTGAGTACTGTGCGCGCGCGCCTGGTGCCCTCACCAACCCCTTCGACGACAAGCGGCGGCTGTGCGTGCTGGCGCCGCAGGAGCAGTACAACGTGCCGCTGTACATCGCCTACCACTGCAGGCTGTTCCTGCTGCCGTCCAGCGCACAGTGAGTACTGTGCGCGCGCGCCTGGTGCCCTCACCAACCCCTTCGACGACAAGCGGCGGCTGTGCGTGCTGGCGCCGCAGGAGCAGTACAACGTGCCGCTGTACATCGCCTACCACTGCAGGCTGTTCCTGCTGCCGTCCAGCGCACAGTGAGTACTGTGCGCGCGCGCCTGGTGCCCTCACCAACCCCTTCGACGACAAGCGGCGGCTGTGCGTGCTGGCGCCGCAGGAGCAGTACAACGTGCCGCTGTACATCGCCTACCACTGCAGGCTGTTCCTGCTGCCGTCCAGCGCACAGTGAGTACTGTGCGCGCGCGCCTGGTGCCCTCACCAACCCCTTCGACGACAAGCGGCGGCTGTGCGTGCTGGCGCCGCAGGAGCAGTACAACGTGCCGCTGTACATCGCCTACCACTGCAGGCTGTTCCTGCTGCCGTCCAGCGCACAGTGAGTACTGTGCGCGCGCGCCTGGTGCCCTCACCAACCCCTTCGACGACAAGCGGCGGCTGTGCGTGCTGGCGCCGCAGGAGCAGTACAACGTGCCGCTGTACATCGCCTACCACTGCAGGCTGTTCCTGCTGCCGTCCAGCGCACAGTGAGTACTGTGCGCGCGCGCCTGGTGCCCTCACCAACCCCTTCGACGACAAGCGGCGGCTGTGCGTGCTGGCGCCGCAGGAGCAGTACAACGTGCCGCTGTACATCGCCTACCACTGCAGGCTGTTCCTGCTGCCGTCCAGCGCACAGTGAGTACTGTGCGCGCGCGCCTGGTGCCCTCACCAACCCCTTCGACGACAAGCGGCGGCTGTGCGTGCTGGCGCCGCAGGAGCAGTACAACGTGCCGCTGTACATCGCCTACCACTGCAGGCTGTTCCTGCTGCCGTCCAGCGCACAGTGAGTACTGTGCGCGCGCGCCTGGTGCCCTCACCAACCCCTTCGACGACAAGCGGCGGCTGTGCGTGCTGGCGCCGCAGGAGCAGTACAACGTGCCGCTGTACATCGCCTACCACTGCAGGCTGTTCCTGCTGCCGTCCAGCGCACAGTGAGTACTATACAGGGTGTTAGTTTAGGTTTTATAAATTTTATTTGATATGAAAATTAAAAAAAATAAAATGATGATATCAAATTTCTGACTTCACCATACCATTTATATGACCATGTTAACATGGGCTAGTGTCGGCTCATATACCCATTTACCTAACACCCTGTAGATTAGTCCAGTCGATCGTGGCAAGACGAAAAATACTACATGATTGTGCACTAAACTATGCTGTTTCATTTAAGATTTCAAGAAGTATGTAAGTGGTAGATCGCCCAGGGTTTTGTTAGTAAATAGTAGATCTTAGGCCTTAGCCTCGAGTTTAGCGGGCAGCGGGGCGGGAGCGGCGGCGGCGCGGGAGCGGGGCGGGCAACGCAGACCCGTTCTCGAAACAAGCGGGCAGCTCGCGCGGCGCTTTAGCGGCGAAGTGTTGTGTTCGGGGTTGTGTTGTCGAGATATTTGTTTTTATTCGCAAACGAAATGTCTGAACAACGGCGACAATTTTATTTCGATTCAAATTTATTCCTAACGCTTGATTTATTGTGGGCAAAAGAAGGAGTGCGCTGCCCGCTCGTTGCCCGCTCCCGCGCCGCTGTTTTCGAGAACCGGTCTATTTGATTTTACGCATAAGATCCTGCCGCTCCCGCGCCGCCGCCGCTCCCGCCCCGCTGCCCGCTAAACTCGAGGCTGAGGCCTTATGTCTAATCAAGTTGGTCACCCCTGGTATAGATCGTTTCATCCACGAAGACGCGCCTCACCAATTTTTGGTCGAGGGAAGCGCGGGGTGCAGGGAGTTTGATCCGAGCAATCCGAGCGTCATTATTGTAGTGTGCGTGTGCACTCATGGATAATTTAACGTGTACCGATAACACTCAAACATTAGCGGAAGAATGGTGGGGCGTTACTTCGTAGATGAAACGATGTATACCGATGGTCGTTGGAGCAAAACAGTTTTCCAGTGGTGACCACGAATCCGAAATCTGGTGAAGTTCGCAAGAAGCATTTACGGTATGGGCAGCGCAAATCCTGTGTCGTTGCGGAACTTATTTGAAGCCTTTGTGGCTTCGAGTGAGTCTATTTATTTCGCTTGTGGTCCCAATATGCTGCTACAGGCAGGCAAATGATTTTGTTACTGCTATAGAGAAGCGACGTGAAAGGAGTGTGTTTTTGTCACCTCAACCAGGCCTGTACCTCTAGTAGGAAAAACTTTCGAGTTCGTTTCGTTGCGTATTCAAAGTGTCATCGAAAAATTTTGTATGAAAAATTAAACAGCGCCCCCTATATTATAGCCGCCCTAGGGGGCGCTGTTTAATTTTTCATACAAAATTTTTCGATGACACTTTGAATACACAACGAAACGAACTCGAAAGTTTTTCCTACTAGAGGTACTGTTCATCTCCGCGAGTTTACATCGAAAACAAAACACGCACGATGGCCCACCTACAGGATACTATTCGACAATTCCTCACATACGAGCGAACATTGACTCACGCACGCGTATTCTTGTGTATGATAGAAGAAAATAAAGAAAATGGTGTACTAAATACTGTGCAGTATTTAACTGCCTAAATAATAATAAAAACACAGAATGTACTTTTTTAAGTTGATCAAGACACTGAGAGGTAAATAAGTAGTTAATATTATTCATGATAATTCATGCTAAATCATGTATTTCCTCCGCCATTTTCCGCAGTTTGGCACCTCACGTCACATCATTTTACCGAAGTCAGCCCAATAGCTTCGGCGCAGTGCCGATCACTGACGTTTGTCAACAAAATGGTGCTTGACTCTTGAGACAGGCTAAATTACACCATATTGTTAATGACATTGCGCATACATTTTTTTAAATTCCTTCGCGAAGAAAAACTTCTGTACGTAGTACTTATTATTATTCTGTGCCTCAACTACTGCGGGACTTCAGACACGTATATTGTGACAGCTCTCTTACGTCACATGTCTGCCACTGATGAATTAATTTTGATAATATTTACAGAACGTACCAAACACACGCGCAGGGCATCTGGTGGAAGGAGCTGGCTAACGACCTGGGCACGCCGCGTGACGTCATCTGCCCTACCAAGGACGGGCCGGAACACAAGATATTCGCCATGAGGATCATCACTGTTGAAGGTAGGCATATTCACCTTTAACTGAGCTGTATCTTTTCAGTTTAAATGTAGATAAAATGTTTAAATAAGATTTTATTCTTCCGGAAATTGAACGGTATATTTGGGTAATTTTGTCTATCTAGCGGAAAATGTCTAAATCTTTCGTCATTAGATTGGATTACTAGCTTTTTTTTTCTAACCATTACTAAAATTACGGACGAGGACTCTATAGTTTCTTGTGACAAGAGAAACCAGCAGTGGCAATAAAAGTTTCTCATTCGTCGTCCGTAGTTGGACAAGAGCTTCCCAAACTTTTTTTTACTATGACGCCCTAAGTTAAGGCGCCTGGCGCTCTGGGGTTGGTTAACCTTAACCAACGCCCTAGGGCGTTTCGGAATCCCTGCTTCAGTCCAACAACTTATCTGCCCACAGGCTGCCAGTCGCACAAAGTGACGCGCTCCATCCCCAACTACCTAATTCGAGTGGTGCCGCCGCTGGCCATCTACAACCGACTACCCTACGCATTGGAGCTGACTTGCGCCGCGCGCGACTGGCGCGTGCGATTAGAAGCTGGCGAGCGCGCGCACTGTTATACGTTGCCGCCCGCCATGCCACATCGGCTCACCCTCGACATCAAATACATGGGCCTACCGTGGGCGGGAAGCTTTACGTTAGCGCCAGGTATGTGATAATGTAACGCAAAACAAACATGGAATGGAGAAAGAATAGTGCCGCCTCTAAAGCCTGGTCCGTGAGCACGTAGAATCCCGTCCAATGACCCCAAGCTGCCCATCCTTGTCGCTCGCACGTCATTATGTTGCTGTCGCGCTCGCACACTCACTGCGGGCGCCCGTCGCACAGTCGCGACAGCAATATAATTACGCGCGAGCGATAAGGATGGGTAGCTTGGGGTCATTGGACGGGATTCTACGTGCTCACGGACCAGGCTTTAGCCATCTACAACTAGCTATCGTACGCGCTGGAGCTGAAGTGCGCGTGCGCACTGCTACACGCTGCCGCCCGCCATGCCACACCGGCTCACCCTCGACATCAAATACATGGGCCTACCGTGGGCGGGAAGCTTTACGCTGGCACCAGGTAATTGACAACTCATGGGTCGGGAGAGTGCATAGGTACTGCTCGACGCTCTTTTCTTTTTGCGTTATAATTCGCTGGCGCCAAGTTTGTGGGAACCCGGCTGGGGGACATTGTCATGCCACATCGGCTCACCCTTTACGCGAGATACATGGGCCTGCCGTGGGCGGGAAGCTTTACGCTAGCACCAGGTATCCCTCCGTCCACCCATGGTTCTACCTTCCTCACAGCGTACGAACCGAATCTCGGGAGAGCTCATAGGTACTGCCCGAGGTTCTTTTCCCTTAGCACTATACTTCGCTGGCGCCACGTATGTGGGACCCGGCTGGGGGACATTGTCATACGCTGCCACCCGCCATGCCACATCGGCTTACGCTCGACATCAAATACATGGGCCTACCGTGGGCGGGAAGCTTTACGTTAGCGCCAGGTAATTGTCAATTCATGGGTAGGGAGAGTACATGTATAGGTAGGTACTGCTCGACGCTCTTTTCTTTTTGCGTTATAATTTGTTGGCGCCAAGTTTGTGGGACCCGAGTGAGGGCCATTGCTTGTTACACTCTGCGCATCGGCTCACGCTCGACATCAAATACATGGGCCTACCGTGGGCTGGAAGCTTTACGCTGGCGCCAGGGAGCTGAGCAGGGGGCTGGAGATGCGAAACAAACATGAAATGGTCGCCACTGGCCATCTACAACCGGCTATCGTACGCGCTGCCGCCCGCCATGCCACATCGGCTCACCCTCGACGCCAAATACATAGGCCTGCCGTGGACAGGAAGTTTTACTCTGACGCCAGGTATGTGGTAACGCAAAATAAACATGGAATGGATAAAGAATGGTCCCGCTGCTAGCCATCTACAACCGGTTGCCGTACGCGCTAGAGCTCAGTGCGCGTGCGCACTGCTACACGCTATCACCCGCCATGGGCCTGCCGTGGGCTGGCTCCTTCATCCTGGCTCCTTCACCCTGGCTCCAGTTATCCTTCCGCCAACCCATGGTTCTACCTGCCTCATAGCGTAGGAGTGCATAGTTACTGCTATAGGTACGTGGGACACGGGCGGGGGCCATTGTCATACGCTGTCACCCGCCATGCCGCATCGGCTCACCCTCGACGTGAGATACATGGGCCTACCGTGGGCGGGAAGCTTTACGCTAGCACCAGGTATCCCTCTACCTTCCTCACAGCGAGCGAACCGAATCTCGGGAGAGCTCATAGGTACTGCCCGAGGCTCTTTTCTCTTAGCACTATATTTCGCTGGCGCCAAGTTTGTGGAACCCTAGTAATGAGGGCCATTGCTTGCTGCACTCTGCCGCCCGCCATGCCACATCGACTCACGCTCGACATCAAATACATGGGCCTGCCGTGGGCGGGAAGCTTTACGCTGGCGCCAGGTAATTGCCAACTCATGGGTCGGGAGAGTGCATGTATAGGTAGGTACTGCTCGAAGCTCTTTTCTGTTTGCGTTATAATTCGCTGGCGCCACATATGTGGGACCCGGCTGGGGCACATTGTATACGCTGCCGCCCGCCATGCCACATCGGCTCATGCTCGACATCAAATACATGGGCCTGCCGTGGGCGGGAAGCTTTACGCTAGCGCCAGGTAATTGCCACCTCATGGGTCGGGAGAGTGCATAGGTACTGCTCGACGCTCTTTTCTTTTTGCGTTATAATTCGCTGGCGCCAAGTTTGTGGGACCCGAGTGAAGGCCATTGCTTGTTACACTCTGCGCACCGGCTCACCCTCGACATCAAATACATGGGCCTGCCGTGGGCGGGAAGCTTTACGCTGGCGCCAGGTATGTGGTAACGCAAAATAAACATGGAATGGAGAAGAATGATGCTGCATGCTTGGCCAAATGCTATACGAATCAGGGCCATAGTAGACACGCTACTTTTAGGCTGAGTTGCACCACCTAACTTGTCAGATGATGGAGTTTGACAAATTTTTGACGTTTGTCAAAGTTAAAGTAAGATGATGCAACCCAGTCTTAGCTTTGGTGATTTTACAACTGTATCGATACAACTTCATGCGTTCTGACGCGGTATGGGATTGCGCGTTTTTTGCGCGCGGCGGTTGAGTCGCTTTTTTGCGCGCAGAAAAGCGACTTAACCGCCGCGTTCCGCGTTTTTAAGTGTGCAGAATGAAATATATTATGGTCGCTGCATTCACTATAAAGTAGCTAAATCATCGATCACCGATGCTAGTGGTAGCGAGAGAGCCACACTCTAACACTTGACAAAGTTAACTTTTATCGTGATTTATTTTGTGTACACTATAGCAGTGTTTCTTAACCTATGGTCCGCGGACCCCTAGAGATCCACGGGCATAGGTAGGCACGTGTATCGGAGTCCGCAGCCTTATCTTTGAACTATTTAACAATCGTAGTAGGAAATGCCACCGTAAATGCCACTAATAGAAAAAGTATCTTCTTATTGCTGCTTTTTTATTGTTTCCTAATGCTGGATTTCTATATTCAATCCTAATCCAAATTGGACGGATTTGGATTGTCAACTGCCAAATTTTAATATGTTTTTGGCCAAAATATCTGCGGTTTTTGATGTTTTTACATTTTATATTGTTTATAAGACTTTTAAACAATATTAAAGTGTAAATGCATCGAACATTTTGGAAATATAATCTAAAACTGAATTCAATTTGACAGTTGTGATCCGGATTTGGACAAGGATTGAATATTTTGTTTGTAATTAATGATGAACTTAGTTGAATGAACCTAGCTGAACCTGGGTGGGCATACATTTCCAGGGGGTATATAAAGTCAGGAAAAAAACAAATGTTAGCGCGAGCTAAAGGAGCACAGCGCCATCTATTATCCCAAATATAAACTATGTTTTACTTACCCATTGTTCTTGGTGGACTTGCTTTTTACTTGACACTCGAAACTTCTACAATCGTATCTGTTGCAGACGTGACGGAGAAAACCATAAACATGTCGTGCGACGGGTCGGACGGGCCGGGCCGGCCGCTGCAGGTGAGCGTGCGCGCCGAGCGCCGCGCCAGCTGGCGGCTGTTCCTGCACGCGCAGCACTGGCTCATCAACAAGACGCAGCTGCCGCTGCAGCTCAAGGTAACCGAGTGACTGCAGACGGGTGACTTACCAGTGTGTTTAAAGCCTGGTCCGTGAGCACAGGGTTAAAAAAAAAAAGACTCGCTAGCGAACACACCAGTCCTGGGTCTGTCAATAGGCCGTATAGACCGCGGCCTAGGGGCGGCAGATTTCAGATGACGACGTAGAATCCCGTCCAATGACCCCAAGCTAACTATCCTTGTCGCTCGCACGTAATTATGTTGCTGTCGCGCTCGCATACTCACTGCGGGCGCGCGTCGCATACTCACTGCGGGCGCGCGTCGCACAGTCGCGACAGCGACATAATTACGCGCGAGCGATAGGGATGGGTAGCTTGGGGTCATTGGACGGGATTCTACGTGCTCACGGACCAGGCTTTACTGTGGTTTACGTTAGGTGTGTTCCAGTGGCGGATTTACAGTTTTGCCGCCCGTAGGCTGGGTCTTTTGAAATCGAGTAAGCGACAAGCGTCATCTGAAACCTGCCGCCCCTAGGTTGCGGCCTATACGGTCTATTGACAGACCCAGGACTGGTGTGTTCGCTAGCGAGTCTTTTTTTTTCGTTTTTTAACCCTGCATAAAAGGCATCCACTGAAAATCTGTGTTTTGGCAGTTACACTGTCAAGATGTTACTGAGTGGGTGACCTTTTTGGCAACTTTGTTCCATTTTTTTTATGTGTCTTTTGTTGCCAAAATAAAATTACTTTCTTTCTTTCTTTGTAATGTAAGCTCATGGTAAGCACACAGGTGTTATTAAGTGCATTTAGTTTACATACTATGTCGCAGCGGCAGCGGTACCGCCACTGCCGCGAAGCCGCTGCTCTAGTTTTATTTGGATTTGTATGGGGGTTTTCGTACACACGTGTGTACGGTCTAACCTGGGAGTCACAATTTAAATTCTGGGAGTTCAAGTCATCGATTTTTAAGTATTTTTTCAAAAACAGAGTTGTATCATGAGATGATTGATTACTGTCAACAACTACCAGAGAGCCGCAATTTGAGTTCTGGGAGTCATCGATTTCTGAGCGTTTTTGTCTAGCACGAGTTGTACCTCAAGATGATGGTGTCACCTTCATTGGTTTTGCTCAGGGCCAGCACTCGGACATCTGGTACGAGCTGACCGACGAGCCGGTCCTCTGGCGCGCCAGCGGGCGTTCCAACCGCGCGTCCGCCTGCCGCGTGCGTCTGCGCGCGCACCACAGCGCCACCTCGCGTCGCACTCCGCTCGCCGCCGCCGCGCCCGGCCTCGTCGTCTGCTCGCACTCGGAGCGGCGCACCGACTACCGCCTGCTGCTGTGCGTGAGTACACAGCCGGCACTGTGCGTGCGTCTGCGGGCGCACCACAGCGCCACCTCGCGTCGCACTCCGCTCGCCGCTGCCGCGCCCGGCCTCGTCGTCTGCTCGCACTCGGAGCGGCGCACCGACTACCGCCTGCTGCTGTGCGTGAGTACACAGCCGGCACTGTGCGTGCGTCTGTGGGCGCACCACAGCGCCACCTCGCGTCGCACTCCGCTCGCCGCCGCCGCGCCCGGCCTCGTCGTCTGCTCGCACTCCGAGCGGCGCACCGACTACCGCCTGCTGCTGTGCGTGAGTACACAGCCGGCACTGTGCGTGCCTGCGCCCGGCCTCGTCGTCTGCTCGCACTCCGAGCGGCGCACCGACTACCGCCTGCTGCTGTGCGTGAGTACGGCACTCCGGCCGCGCGTCCGCCTGCCGCGTTTGTGAGTCACTCCTGCCGCTACTATTATTACGAATGCTACGACTCCTGCGGCCGCTACTCCTGTCTCCATTACTCTTGCCGCCACTTCTCCTGCCGCCACTACTCAAGTCATCAATACTCGTACCGCCACCACTCTTACCACCATCACTCCTGACATCGCCACTCCTGCCTCCACTACTTTTTCCGACACTACTCCTGCCGCCAATACCGCTGCCAACACTACTCCTGCCGCCAATACCGCTGCCAACACTACTCCTGCCGCCAATACCGCTGCCAACACTACTCCTGCCACCAATACCGTTGCCAACAATACTCTTGCCGCCAATACCGTTGTCACCACTACTACTCCTGCCGTGATTACTCTTGCCGTCATCACTTCTGCTGCCACTACTCTTATAGCCGTAAATACCGTTCGATTGAACTTGTGAAGCACTTTCACGATCAGTAATCAGTTTTTCGATATCTTATTTAAGTAGTTTAGAAATAATCGAGTCAGATCGTTTCCACCATGTTTACTTATCTCCCCCGTGTCCGCAGGTGACGCTGTCAGAACTGTGTCCACAGTTAACCAAGATCGTGACTCTTCTCCCGTACTTTGTCGTCTACAACGACACGCGGCGCCACCTCCGCTTCATGGAGGAAAACGAAGCAGCCGACCTGTGGCTTGACCTGGCGCCGCAGCAGTGCGCGCCATTCTGGCCTCAAACGGACTCCATGATGATGCACTGCAAGTTCCGAGACTCCTGCGTCATCTCACAGCACTTCCCGATCACGAAGAATCATTTTACAGTGCTCAGGATGGATAAAGGGGTGAGTAAGGGCGCTTCATCATCATCATCATTTCAGCTAAATATGTCCACTGCTGAACATAGACCTGCCTGTATGATTTCCACATCGCCCGGTTGGTAGCGGCCTGCATTCAGCGCCTTCCTGCTACCTTTATGAGGTCGTCGATCCATCTTGTAGGTGGACGTCTCACGGTGCGTTTTCCGGTACGTGGCCTCCAGAACCTTGCTGCCCCATCGGTCGTCTGCACCAAAGTCAATCATTACAATTTCATGACCACGTTTGATCCCATCCCATCTACCATCTTGCGATTTTTTTTGTAATATGGACCCAAGTATAATATTCTATAATATTTTAACGATATATCAAAAAATTATAGTGATCTAGAATTATTTCGAACGAAACCCACTTAGTCCAGTCAATGAATGCCTTAACGACGGTGTAGAGAGAAATCCGTGGAACATAATTTCTGACCTCGGGACTTTATTTAGCCTAGTTAGTTGGTGAACATAGCAAAAGTCCCCCNGCGCACACAATAGCCTGGTGATTTTAGCACCTGAAGGAAAAACAAAAAATAAATCTGCGGCAGGTGTAGTGTTTTAATTTTGTTTTAGAAAGATCTCATAATTTTGTAAGTATTCAAATATTTAAACATAATACACTCAGCGGCACGGAATTTGGCCCAAGCCTAAACACCCAGATATGAGGCCAAATAGGTGTTGNCACATTTACAAATGTTAACAATAAAAAAATTACTGAAAAAATATGATAAGTTTTTTATCTGTCATAGTATTCATGACTTTCTACTGCCTGGTACACGGTGTAAATCCATTTGTTGCAAGTCTTTCATAATTTTTTTGTCGAGTGATTTCGGGCTTTTGAGTAGACCCGCAGTTTTGACGGCCAATTTCAGAAAAGTGCGCATACTCTAGCGACCCAAGCTTTACTGGCTTACTGACAAATTTAGTAAACGAGGCTTTCCTGGAATGCCAGCTCTCTGGCGCAAGTTCTCAAAAAGTTATAGCGTAAAATGTTAGCCTGGTCTACTATAGTAGTCCGCGCGTGTACTCTAGTGTTCAGTTTTTAATACAAAGATCGAGGATAGTGAATTCATATTCAGTGAATGAATGAACCTTACCTTTCGATTTCCTTTTTTTGATATGAATACCGCTTAGTGTATTTATCCTAAAAAATAGCATTATGATAAAAATACGTATTTTAAAATGCGTGAAACTTATATTTTGAGATTTTAATAAAACAACATGCAGGTCAGAAATATTTTTTTTTACCCTTTTTCTTTCTCCAATGCCCTTGACAATTCTTTGAAATTAATTGTTTCCAATTCCTTGTATAGTTCAAAGTTGTTTGTTGCTGAGAACAAAAATAAAATAATTAAAACGTTTAGGAAATAAATTACTCGTCTCATATCATTTTATGGTTTTGTACAAGAAGAGTAAATTTTTTTGTAAGGGGTGCATTTTGAGCCCCTTGCGCGTATCATTTTGCTCGTGTTTTAAAAAAGTTAATGTTTTCCGAATTCCTATTAATTTTCATAAAAAATCATTCAAAATATGTCTGTACTGTGAAAATGCCTTAATACCTCTAGAATGAAGGTACACTCTTATGACTTATTAATAAAATTAATTACATAATAATATTGACTAAGCCCTTGAAAACAATTGAATTGACGTTTACCTAAACATTTTCCTGTTTCGTTGTTTCCGATCGACATAGTTTATGTTTGATCAACACCGATTTTGGAATAATACTGATTTTGAATACACTGGCTTTCACATTAATATTTCAAGCTTAGAAAAGCCTTAGGTACTAACCCACCAAATACGTTGACGTCAAAAATGACCGTCATGAATATTTGATTATAATGTCAAATTGGTTAAACTGACATCTTTATTATCATACGAGTTCCATAAACGGTCTGGACGCTTTGATTTACGGTTTTTGTTGGTTTTTGAAGGAAAAAATACGTGAAAAATATACAGAATTTTAGTACTGTCAGCTTCTTTAACGGTAAGAAAACATTTATTTATTATTTGGTCTAACTTTATTACATACTTTTTAGAGTTCTGTACGTTTATTCGCAATGAAAATTCACAAAATAATAAGTCATATTGTTATCCATTTTTCTAAAGCAATTTCTAAAACGTTTGAGATCATATTTTATACCTACTTTTATACGGAACCAGAGTTGCTTCTTAGACATTGAAAATTAGTGGGTTGGGCTTAATTTGTTTTTAATATAAAAATACCAGACTAGAATCCAAAGCATTAGACCAGGTAAGGTATTATTAAGTTTTATTCGTCTGAAGGCTACTTAGTTTCTGAATAAATTTAGTAATCGACTCTACCAACTTATTTTGAATTTGAAGACGATACTTTAGTATCTTATAATATGCATTAAGGGCTTTTATGTATTGCATAGCGTCTAGTTTAGTTTGATGTACTGGCGCCATTTCGAATGTATAAAAATAATTTAAATTTCAAGATTTACTTCATGAATAGATATTTTTGATAGAGCCATCATTTTCCAAAGATGTTAATGAACATTTTTTAAATTTTGTCTTGCTACTTTAAATCGCCAGTCCAATGTGAGTTGTATTTTGATTCAATTAAAGAGAAATGAAACCTTCAATATCGATATAATCGAATCGCCACGGCCTGCTGGAGATGATACTCGACGACTCCTTTCCATTGATTTAATAAATGCTCCAGTTGAACTGGCCAGTATTTCATCCTTTATTTTCTTTTAATCCGATAAAAAATAAGTGGAGCATTTTGTGACGTGGTATCGAACCTTTTTGGAATGCTGTTCACAAGGTTTAATTTGTTTTTAAAAAGTAACTCTATAAAACTCGATTTTATTTTGTTTTTTTCCTACTTTCTACTGTTTTATAATGTTAAAAATCAGTTTTGATGTGATTTGTGCATTTAATTTTGTTTCATTGTGAATGACGATCTAAATACTCTTTAAGAGTATGCGCACATCGTGGATTTTTAGTTGGCCGATAGTTGTGCCCGATTTTAAATTGTATGAAGAATCGGCCAAATCGAATCGGCGTAGTGTGCGCACTCCCATACATGCCCATATATTGATCAACTGCCCGACTAAACTATCGGCCGACGAAAAATCAACGGTGTGCGCCTACTCTAAGCCAAAAACTATAAACTATTGGACCAATTTTGTCTCTTTCATAGTCTTTAACATAAGGTATGTATCTTTGACATAATAATATGGAACTCTTATATCGAAATCAGTTCTCCTATCGATGGACGTCCACTGCTGAACAAAGGCCTCTTCCCATTGATTTTCAGGTTGGCCGGTTGGTAACGGCTTTCTTGCTACCTTTATGAAGTCGTCTGTCCACCTTGTGGAATCGCCTATTAGAACGCTAGAATCCCATCCACTTGTGAACGTTCTCTATTAACTGTGATTGTGTCAAAGATTAAAAACCCCGACCGTACCAAGGTACCCTTCGTGAGATTGTGACGTCACAATTCGACGTAGGATTTGCATAACCCGTAGCCTTTGATATTGAAATGTAAATGGAGGTCGGACATTGTCAGGGTTGGCAACCATCAGTATTGGAAAATGCTTAAAAAATGAGACTAAGGCTGAGTTGCACCAACTAACTTTAACCGTAACTATAACGATAACCGACGTATTTTGTATGGAATTTGGCAGATTTTTGACGTTTGATAAATTCAAAGTAAAGATGATGCAACCCAGCCTAAGATTCATTAATTTCAAAGTTTTTACAGTTCACAGGCTAAGCATTTTTATTGCAAAATCGAATTTATTCCAAAAAATTAAGCTGCCAGTTGTGAAATCACACAGTCATTATGATTATTTTAATCCAAAAATCTATTATGAAAGCTACGCAGTTTTTTTAACCGAATTAAAAAAGGGGGTTCTCAGATTGACCTGCGATGTAGTTTGTAAGTTTGTCCGCGATTATCTCGCCTTCGGCTGGACCGATTTAGAAGCTGGTTTGAGTAAAGCATTTCAAAACTTTCTTATTTTATCTCTTCATTTGGTTAAATAAACCTACGACTACTTCAGTGACTAATTTAACCGACATTTCTCGCTTCTATACAAAGTACCTAAAACCAGCAGTTAGGGTTGGCAATGCTGCTTAAAAATACAAACATATTTTTAAGCAGCATTGCCAACCCTAACTGCTGGTTTTAGGTTCAAATCGAACGGTTATCATAAAAGGCGGGCCCACTCCTTTAGTATGATTGCGATTACAGCTGGCCCATTCGAGAGATGTGATTAGAATCTGGGATTACACTATTGACAAATTTCATAATTTCATCATAATGTGTTTGTTGTAGCTAGGAGTTCCCATTGATATTTCAGGAGTTTGCTAGATTTTCGACAGCTTATCTTATATCAAGTTGATCTGGAAGGTCATTAGCGCCCGTTTTCACCATCAATCCTTAATTTTTAACTGACCCCTATGAAAACAAAATTCCCGTTATGTGTTACCATATTTACTTAAAAATTAGGGATTGATGGTGAAAACGGGTATAAGTTCAGCAGATACACCGAATAATTTAAGTATTCTTAAAAATTGGTTGTTACAGCTTAGGCTGAGTTCCACCATCTTACTTTGACTTTAACAAACGTCAAAAATCTGTCAAACTCCATACAAAATACATCGGTTATCTTTATAGTTACGGTCAAAGGTAGGTGGTGCAACTCAGCCTTAGTGTAGTTTTAGAGTTCTTAATATCTAGAAACTGTATCTCAAGGTGCCATTCAAACTCCCACAGACCTTTTCTTCTCGGACCTTCAATTTGTGTCCCATCTTGCGATTGAATCCAGGACTTCTGGATCGAGAGAGTCCAACGGAGGCGAAATTGTTGACAAAGCATCAATCATACTTTTGAACAATCATTTGTGTCATAAACAACCAATCACGAATCATAAACAACCTAAATATTTTAAATCTAAATTAGATGTAATGTCCTTCATTAGTTGTGTCCAATAAAATCATTTATAA